AAAACAATAGTCCCATCAGCACATGGTTTCAGGTTGAAACCGGAATCGAGGGGCTACAGTTAAACTTCTGAGCTCGTCTCTATGTTAAGCTGCCTGAAGCGTCACTGGCCTCATTTTCCTTAGCGTTTCTTTTTTCCGTTTTGCCTGCATGGGACGTGCTTTGAACATTGTTACGCCCACCGGGGCCACATCCTGTGTTTAGGGTGTGTTTGAGGGCCTTTGACTCGGTTGTTGAAACGTCTATACATTAATTGTATGTGTGTGTGTTTAATTTGCTATAGTTTGAGGACAGAACTGTTCCTGAAACAGAGTTGAATCGGACTAGACTTTCCTTCTTGAAGAGAAAAGTGATTCTTTTATTAATTGTCTTGAATTTTGTTAATTTACATTACTGATTTTTTTAATGTTTATGAAAGAGTCCCTTCTGCTCAACAAGGCTGCATTTATTTGATTAATGCAGTAAAAATTCTGAAATATTATTATAATGTAAAACAGCTGTTTTCTATGTGAATATCTGTTAAACTGTAATTTATTTCTGTGATCAAAGCTGTATTTTCAGCATCATTACTCCAGTCTTCAGTGTCACATGATCTTCAGAAATCAGTATAATATGCTGATTAAGAAACATTTCAGATTATTATCAATGTTGAAAACATTTTTTTTTAACCCCAAACATTCAATGGGTTCCACAAAAATATAAAGCGTTCATATTATACTGATTTCTGAAGATCATGTGACACTGAAGACTGCAGTAATGATGCTGAAAATACAGATTTGATCAGAGAAATAAATTACAGTTTAACAGATATTCACATAGAAAGCAGCTGTTTTAGATTCTAATAATATTTCAAAATTAAAAAAAAAAATCTGTATTTTTAATCAAATAAATCCACCCTTGGCGAGTAGAAGAGACAAAAAAAGGTATTTATTCCAATTCTTATTTTTAGAACTCACCCAGAAAGCCTTGCAACCTTAACCATAAACGACTCTAAATTAAACATTTAAAGCGATAGTTCACCTACGTCGTCATTTACTCACCCTCGTGTCAAACACAAAAGACACATAAAAAGAAAGTCATATATGAGCGTGTATGGTATGAACGCTTTCACTTGTCAACATGACTGCATGAGTGTGCATGGATGAGCAAGCTTATATAATGTTTTCTCAATGTTTCCGTCCCGCCCGTGTGTGTTGAGGGTTGAATCTAGGCCATCTCGTCAGCTTTGTGTCTGCGAGGCGGATCAGGATCGGGGGGGAAGGGCTGGAGGGGATCCGAGAGTGCTTCCCGGGTCAAAGGGCAAGTGCGATCGGAGAGACATGTTTGTGCACATAGCGGCATTTCAAGAGCTTTCTGTGTCTGACAGCCATCGAAGCGCTTTGAGATGAGCTCTCATCGGTCAGGCTACACAGGAGGAGATCTGTGCGCTCCGGCCCTTTACTGGGATCCTACCCCTGCATCCAGCTGGAAAAACAAACACAGTGTGGGAGTGAGCAGAGAAGAGAAGAGCTTTGATGGAAACGCTGAACTGGAATATGAAGGGACTAGATTTTCTGCGAACGTCACCGCTGGAGGTTTCACTGCATGACTTGGAGCTTGGAGTTATTTTCTGTATCTTTTTTTTCTGTATCGTTTTTATCAGACTCTCATTCTGACGGCACCCATTCACTTGCAGTGACACAATGATGCAATGCTACATTTCTCCAAACCTGATGAAGAAACAAACTCATCTACACATTCGATGGCCTGAGAGTGAGCACATTTTAAATTTTTGGTTGAACTTTTAATTTTTCAGTT